CGGCGCGAGGCCCAATTGTCGGGCATTGAAGCTTAGCTGTCACTTCCTGGCGCGTTTCAGTCGCGATGGCGTGCATCGCGCGCGATTGCGCGCGCCCTGCGCGCGCGTGATCCCGCGCATGGGCCGCGAATCCGAACCGTCCCACCATCCAGGCGTCGTCGTCATCATCGTCACCACGATCTCCACCACGATGATTTTATTGCGAAGGCCTGACGGCCGGCGCCGCCGACCCTGTTCGCAATGCGCAGCAAGAGGCACGGGCTGTGGGATGGTTTGGGGGAACGGGGAGAAGGGCGAGAAGGTGGGGGAGGGAGGTGTCGTATCTGACCCGGGACTTCCCCGGGACTCCCCCGGGACCCCCCCCGGGACCTCCTCTCCCCCCCCCGTCGGGGAAGGGAAAGGGAAGGGGCTTCCCTTCGACTCAATGACGACGTTGCTCAAGGTCGGTACGGGGGGGGGGCGTCGTATCTGACTCGGGGGGGGGGTCGCTACCCCCCCCCCCCTCCCGGCGGGGGAGGAATGAAAGGGAAGGGGCTTCCCTTCGACTCAATTACGAGGTTGCTCAAGGTCGGCTTGGCTGGAGCCCAGGGGAAGAGGAGTCCCAGGGGGGGGCGTCGTATCTGACCCGGGGGGGGGGTCGCTACCCCCCCCCCCCTCCCGGCGGGGGAGGGATCAAAGGGAAGGGGCTTCCCTTCGACTCAATTACGAGGTTGCTCAAGGTCGGCTTGGCTGGAGCCCAGGGGAAGAGGAGTCCCAGGGGGGGGCGTCGTATCTGACCCGGGGGGGGGGTCGACACCCCCCCCCCCTCCCGGCGGGGGAGGGATCAAAGGGAAGGGGCTTCCCTTCGACTCAATTACGAGGTTGCTCAAGGTCGGCTTGGCTGGAGCCCAGGGGAAGAGGAGTCCCAGGGGGGGGCGTCGTATCTGACCCGGGGGGGGGGTCGCTACCCCCCCCCCCTCCCGGCGGGGGAGGGATCAAAGGGAAGGGGCTTCCCTTCGACTCAATTACGAGGTTGCTCAAGGTCGGCTTGGCTGGAGCCCAGGGGAAGAGGAGTCCCAGGGGGTAGCGCCGTATCTGACCCGGGGGGGGGGTCGCTACCCCCCCCCCCCCTCCCGGCGGGGGAGGGATGAAAGGGAAGGGGCTTTCACTTCGACTCAATTACGAGGTTGCTCAAGGTCGGCTTGGCTGGAGCCCAGGGGAAGAGGAGTCCCAGGGGGGGGCGTCGTATCTGACCCGGGGGGGGGGTCGCTACCCCCCCCCCCCTCCCGGCGGGGGAGGGGTCAAAGGGAAGGGGCTTCCCTTCGACTCAATTACGAGGTTGCTCAAGGTCGGCTTGGCTGGAGCCCAGGGGAAGAGGAGTCCCAGGGGGGGGCGTCGTATCTGACCCGGGGGGGGGGTCGCTACCGCGACGGGTTGTTACTGTGGCCCGTTGGGTGTTAGTGTGGCCCGTTGGGTGTTAGTGTGGCCCGTCGCGCGGCGGGATGGGAGTTACTGTGGCCCGCGCAGGCCGCTCAATGAACAGTAATATGTAAAGGTATCTCATGTTAGATCTGGAGAGATTCGCAACCCCTAAGGGAATGCACTCCCGCGCAGGCAAAAGTGGCCACAGTAACTCCCACCTGGAACCAACGTGGTAGTAGTGCTGTGTTAGTGGTGTGGTGGTCGCTGTGCTGTGTTAGTGGTGTGGTGTTGGTAATGTTGTGTTAGTGGTGTGGTGTTGGTAGTGGCTGGTTGTGCTGTATGCTGTGTTAGTGGTGTGGTGTTGGTAGTGTGTGCTGTGTTATGGTGTGGTGTTGGTAGTGTTGTGTAGTGGTGTGGTGTTGGTAGTGTTGTTGAGTTGTTAGTAGGTAGTAGTGTTGTGGTAGTGGCAGTGGTGCTGTGGTAGTGGTGTTGTGGTAGCGGTGTTGTGGTGTTGTGGTTGTGGTATCGTGGTAGCGGTGTAGTGGTGTTGTGGTAGCGGTGTTGTGGTGTTGTGGTACTGGTATTGTGGTAGTAGTGCTGTAGTGTGGTAGTACAATGGTGCTGTAGTGTTGGTGTTAAGTAATATCGTTCATAAGGAGTACTAGTCCTACGGAGTACTAGCCGCAGGGAGTGCTAGCCCCAGGGAGTACCAGTCCTAGGAATTACTACCCCTAGGGCGTACTCGTCCAAGGGAGTACTCGTCCTAGGGAGTACTCGCACTACGGAGTACCAGCCCTAGGGAATACTAGTCCTAGGGAAAGCTAGTCCGAGGGAGTGCCACGTAGTACTGGCGCCAGGGAGTGCTAGCCCTAGGAAGTACTGGCGCTAGGGAGTGCTAGCCCTAGGGTGTTAGGGACGACTAGTTAGGGACGACGAGAAGAAGAAAAAGTAGTAGTAGTAGTAGTAGTAGTAGTAGTAGTAGTAGTAGTAGTAGTAGTAGTAGTAGTAGTAGTAGTAGTAGTAGTAGTAGTAGTAGTAGTAGTAGTAGTAGTAGTAGTAGTAGTAGTAGTAGTAGTAGTAGTAGTAGTAGTAGTAGTAGTAGTAGTAGTAGTAGTAGTAGTAGTAGTAGTAGTAGTAGTAGTAGTAGTAGTAGTAGTAGTAGTAGTAGAAGTAGTAGTAGTAGTATGTAGTAGTAAGTAGTAGTAGTAGTAGTAGTAATTATAGTAGTAGTATAGTAGTGAAAACGTTAAAAGAAAAAAGATTTTTTTAAAAAAAAAGAAAAAAAAAAGGGTGTAGTAGTAGTAAATTAGTAGTAAGTAGTAGTAAGTAGTAGTAACAGTATCAAGTAGCATATCAGTAAGCAGTACGTAGCATAGCAGGTAGTAGACGAGTATAGTAGGTATTTGATGATGTAGTGGTAATTAGTAGTAGTAGTAGTAGTAGTAGTAGTAGTAGTAGTAGTAGTAGTAGTAGTAGTAGTAGTACTAGTAGTAGTAGTAGTAGTAGTAGTAGTAGTAGTAGTAGTAGTAGTAGTAGTAGTAGTAGTAGTAGTAGTAGTAGTATGTAGTAGTAGTAGTAGTAGTAGTAGTAGTAGTAGTAGTAGTAGTAGTAGTAGTAGTAGTAGTAGTAGTAGTAGTAGTAGTAGTAGTAGTAGTAGTAGTAGTAGTAGTAGTAGTAGTAGTAGTAGTAGTAGTAGTAGTAGTAGTAGTAGTAGTAGTAGTAGTAGTAGTCGTAGTAGTCGTAGTCGTAGTAGTCGTAGTAGTCGTAGTAAGTAGTCGTAGTAGTCGTAATATTTCGGGAGCCCAAGAGGCTCTTCGGAGAGCCCAAGAAGCGCTTCGGATGCCCCAAGAAGCTCTTCGGAGGCCCCACGAGGCTCTTCGGAGAGCCCAAGCGGCTCTTAGGCGGCTGGAAGAAGGTCTTCGGCGGCTCCAAGAGGCTCTTCGGAGAGCACCAGAGGCTCTTCCGAGAGGCTCTTCGGTGAAGGGGGGGGGGCGGAGCCTTTTTGGACCCCCCCCCCTTCACCGTACTCGATAATTAATACACTCCGGAGGACCCCTGGCCATACTAACACCCACCGGGCCGCAGTAACAACCAACGGGCCGCAGTAACACCTTATCTCGGTCCGGGCCCCCCCCCCCCCCTCCCGGCGGGGGAGGGATCAAAGGGAAGGGGCGTCCCTTCGACTCAATTGCGAGGTTGCTCAAGGTCGGCTTGGCTGGAGCCCGGGAAGAGGGGCCCAGGGGGGGGCGTCGTATCTGACCCGGGGGGGGGGTCGCTACCCCCCCCCCTCCCGGCGGGGGAGGGATCAAAGGGAAGGGGCTTCCCTTCGACTCAATTACGAGGTTGCTCAAGGTCGGCTTGGCTGGAGCCCAGGGGAAAGAGGTCCCAGGGGGGGGCGTCGTATCTGACCCGGGGGGGGGGTCGCTACCCCCCCCCCCCTCCCGGCGGGGGAGGGATCAAAGGGAAGGGGCTCCCCTTCGACTCAATTACGAGGTTGCTCAAGGTCGGCTTGGCTGGAGCCCAGGGGAAGAGGAGCCCCAGGGGGGGGCGTCGTATCTGACCCGGGGGGGGGGTCGCTACCCCCCCCCCCCTCCCGGCGGGGGAGGGATCAAAGGGAAGGGGCTTCCCTTCGACTCAATTACGAGGTTGCTCAAGGTCGGCTTGGCTGGAGCCCAGGGGAAGAGGAGTCCCAGGGGGGGGCGTCGTATCTGACCCGGGGGGGGGGGGTCGCTACCCCCCCCCCCTCCCGGCGGGGGAGGGATCAAAGGGAAGGGGCTTCCCTTCGACTCAATTACGAGGTTGCTCAAGGTCGGCCTGGCTGGAGCCCAGGGGAAGAGGTCTCCGAGGGAAAGGGAAGGACAGAGACGACGAGCACAAACAATGACGGAGATGACGGCTCGAACGGAAAAGCCCCTCACACACGCCGACAGGGTCGGCGATGATTTTATTTGCGTGTAGTTGCCCGCTCACGGGGCGAGCGCGCGCGCGCGTCTGCGCGCGCCCAAGCGCGCCCCGCGCCCCTCGGCGCCCTCTCGGACATGGGCCCGCGCGTTCCCTCCGCAAGTGCGCCCGCGCCAGGGGGGCTCAGTCGTTCGCGGCGCTGGAGCGATGGCGACGACGACGCAGACGTCAACGACGCTGCCGACGACGACGACGACAAAGATGATGGTTACGGCGACGGCGACGACGACGCTCAGGCCCTCCGAGGTTCCCTTCGAGGTTCCCCTGGCATGTTTTTAAAGTGCATTGGAGGCCCATGGAGGTCCATGGAGTTCCCCGGGAGACTCGGGGGGTTCTTTGGAGGCCACCGACGGCGACGGCGACGGCGACGGCGACAGCGACGAAGCTCGAGAACTCGCCCGCTGACTCTCCCGGATTCGCGCAGATGTTCATGGATTTTGTGGGGTTCCAGCAAAGGGTCCTCGCGGATTATCATGGATTCTGCTGCGTTTCTAACAAGAGTTCGCGGCGGATGTTTGCGGATTCTGACGGGTTCTCGCGGATTCTCGCGGAGTCTCGCGGATTCTCGCGGGCTGGGCTCTGTCGCGCGCCGCTCTCGGGCAGCGCGCGCACGAGGGCCTCGAGGGCAGCGGGCGGCGATGACCGTGACCGCCCGCGCGCCTCTGCAGGCCGCGGCGTCCGCCTGCGGGCGCCGGGCAGCGCCTGCCGTCGTTCCACCAGGCGCGCGATCGCTCGTGGCCGCCTGGCGATGCCAGTCGGCGCCTCCGCGCCTGCGGGCGCCGTTGCGCACCTGCGATCGCCTTCCCGGCAGTGCCTTGCCGTCGCTGCCGGGCGCCCTTCGACTACAATGGCTTCCCATGTGTCTTCCTATGGCCTCCAATGGCCTCCCGCCCCGCTGGCCTTGGGCGCCCAGGTCGGCCGTTGCTGCTGGCCCCCCCGTGGCAGAGTGCATTATCCAGTAGCCGTCTGTGACTGCGCCTTCGCTGGCGCCTCGCCCGCCGCGGCTTCGCCCTCGTGGGTTTGAATGGTTTCGCGCGCGCTGTTCCGATAAATCGTGACTATTTTGGGCCAGCGCTCCGACTCTGAATTTGCTAATAGGAAACCCCATCATAACAGGCCCCGCGCCAGAGTCGAAAGTGCGAGGCCAGGTCAAACGCCAGCTTTCGGCGAGCAGCAGAATCGAACGTCGCCGCGCTGGCGCAAAATCGTCGCCGGCAACCCATCCGGTTTTGCCGGGGGGCCTGGCACCCCCCGCTACTCCGACTTTCATATAGGCGCGCCACCCGATCTGCCCTAGGCCGTCTGGCCGACGCGCGAGCGAATTCGCGGGCGCACAACTGGCACAGACGTTTGTGCCTGAAATTGTTGGACTATCTCTGTGCTCTCCAAGTTGCCTTGCCTGTGTCATAGGGCTTCATGGGCTATGCTACCTTCAAGATTAGCTCGAATTTTTGCAATGTGCAGGCGCCGCTAAGAGGCCAGGCGAATGACGCCCTCAGCGGCGAGCAGCACTTGCTTCGCTCTAGACGGCAGGTGCCAGGCGCGTGGCAACTGCTCTCTGTTTGAGGCCGCCTCGAGGTGCCCGCGCGCTCGCCGCCTATGCTACACGGCGGCCGCATTTGCAAGATTAGAGCTAGCGCGCGGCCCCGTCGCCTCGCCTCCCGTGTGCTGACGGGGCTTCACTTTTGCTTAAGGACTGTCGAGCTTTGGGACTGGGCGCGAGCTCTTGTGCAGATGGGCGGCAATGGCCGCGGCGCGGTCCCCCCTCCTTAGTCCGAAACAGCTGCGCAGTAAGGAACGCGCGAGAATGTGGCTGTCGAAGATTTGTGCGTCGGCGCCTGGCTGCGTCGCCTGGGCGCCCGCGGGCATTCCACGCCGCCTTCGCAAACAAGGCTCGGCGGCGATTGGCTGCGCCCACTTGCGCCTCGCGCCCAGGAGTCTCAGGCGCGCAGGTGCTGCAGGTGCTGCGCATGAATTCCTGTCGTCGTCTGACCTTTCGCGGGCGACGTTGGGTTGCCAGTGGATCTCAGCCAGGAAAGCTAAGATATAGATTGAACGTGGGGCTGCCGCGCTCGCCTCCGATCGCTGTCGGAGCTGCTGAAGGCAGGGGCGCCAATCATTCGTTGCTCCATCCCGAGCGGAGTTCGGCTGAAGCTGGATAAGAAGCGGGTGGGGCTGTCTCTATGCGCGTGATGAGCGCCGCACCTCAAGCCGAGCAGCCGGCCTCCGTCGTGCCCTATGTCGATGGGGTCCCATATGAGCGAGTTTGGGCGCCAGGCTGACGTCGTGCTGACGCCTCCTGTTCGGATGGGATTGTCGCGACAAAGTGCGATGTCCAAAAACTGCGCTGGTTCACAGTTGCCGTAGAGTCGAGACATCGGCCGCGCAGCTTGAGCCCAGATTGGCGGGATCACATCTCGGACGCCTCGCAGCCCAGATTGGCAGGATCACGTGCTAGTCATCTCGCATCCCAGATTGTCGGGAGCATGTTCCGCACACCTCGAGGCCAGATTAGCGGGGGCATGGTCGGGTCACTTCGAGGCCAGATTGGCGGGGCCACTTTCCAGTAACATCGCGGAGGCCGCTAACAGTTTGCACGACACTCGCTATTGCCCCACCCTCTACCGCCCTTGGCTCGCTTCAAATGTTAACAAATCCTCGAAGTCAACCTTGCCAGCCAAGACGTCTCCACGCGCGTGGCGAGTGCCGCGCGGCGCGCCGAGCTGCCGCCCCCCCCCCCCCCCCCCCGTGATTTACGCCGATGGGGCTCTACATAGCCGAGGGTGGGCGCCGAGCTGAGGTCGTGCTGCCGTTGCCCGTTCGGATGAGATCGTCGCGACAAAGCGCGATTGGCAAAATTGCGCTGATCCGCGGCTGCCATCGCAGACTTCGCCGCGCCCAGTCATCGGAGGCTGGGGGGTGAGATCGCAGCGGGACGGGGACGCGCAACCGGGAAATCTTTTCGTTTCGTTCGTGTCGCGCGCGCGGGCGAGGCGAAGCTGCGCGGGCGCGCGAGAGGAATGAACCCGCCGCTGGTAGGGCGAAGCCAAGACAAATGATTATGCTCCGCCCGCCCTCCGGCGGTGGCTCGCGGTGTCCCGCGGTGTTCCGTTGCTCCCCTTGGTGCCCACCGTTGCTAGGGCGAAGTCAAGACAAATGATTATCATCCGCCCGCCCGTCCGGCGATGGCTCGCGGTGTTCCGCGGTGTCCCGTGGCTTCCCGTGGTGTCCCGTGGCGTCCACCGTTGCTAGGACAAATGATTATCCCCCGCCCGCCCGTCCGTCCGCCCGTCCGGCGGTGGCTCGCGGTGTCCCGCGGTGTCCCGTGGTGTCCCGTTGTGTCTTGTTGAGTGAGATCGGTCGTGTGAGATCGGTCGTGATATCGATACTGAGATCGATACGGTGCCCCGAGGTGTCCCGTTGTGCCCCGTGATGTCCGAAAGAGTGAGATCGATATTGAGACCGATAGTGAGACCGACAGCTGCCCCGTGGTGTCTCGTGGTGTCCCGTTGAGTGAGATCCATAGTGAGCTCGATAGTGAGTTCGATACTGAAATCGATTCGGCGCCCCGAGGTGTTCCGTGGTGTCCCGTTGTGTCCCAAAGAGTGAGATCCATAGAGAGATCGATCGTGAGATCGACGGGTGTCCCGTGGTGTCCCGTTGAGTGATATCGATTGTGATATCGATAGTAAGGCCGATGGTGAGATTGAGAGGTGTCACGCGGTGTCCTTTGATGTCCCGTGGTGTCCCGTGGTTTCCCGTGGTGTCCCGTTGAGTGACATCGATGGTGAGATCGATAGTGAGATCCCGAGGAGTCACGTGGTCTCCCGTTGGGTGAGATCGAGAGCAACATCGATTGAGTCAGATGTTCGTCCCCCCCCCTCCCACACACCACACAACTTCCTTATCTCCCGAAGAGTGGTCGTATAGGTATGTTATATGTAGATGTATGTGTATACACATGTGTATATACATATATATATATATATATAAACCTTTTCGCGCTGCACGTGGTGGCAGCGCATCATGCCAGTTTTGTGATTAACCAAACACAAAAACAAGCGGGGCGCGTGATTCAACAATTGCCCCCTCGCTCGGGCGAATTTCGGGGGGGGGCGCCCGCCAAATGGAAACGCACGGCGGTGGCGCTGGTGAGCAGCACCGACGTTAGCGCCGACGCGCCGCCGACAGCAGCGCTTGCGCTATAGCAGGGCGGTTGTTCAAAAATGGTTACAGACAAGAGAAAAAGAGGAGGCGGGAGAAAGAGGCGGACATGGTTACAAACAAAAAAGGACAAGGTTGGGGAGAAACGACAAGCGCAAGCGGAAAAGGGCTCCTCTTTCTCCGTCTCCGCCCCTCCTTCACTACATTATCCTACGACGACGACGACGACGCACTGCCGATGCTCTTTGGGGGGCGGGGAAGGGGGACTGCGCATGCCCGGTGTGCTCGTCGACATCGACGACGACGACGCGGAGGAGGAGAACGAGGGCGATAACGTGCACCAGGACCACGGTGACGACGACGACGACGATGACGACAACACGACGACGACGGTGACGATGACGACGACGACGACGCATTGCGGATGCCCCATGGGGGGGGAGGCTGGCTGTAGTCGTCGACGACAGCGACGACGACTACGACGGCGACGACGGCGGCGGCGGCGGCTGCGACGACGACGACGTCGACGTCGATGACGTCGACGACGACGACGACGACGACGACGACAACGACGACGACGACGGCGGCGGTGGCGGCGGTGGCGGCGGCGGTTGCGACGACGGCGACGACGACGACGACGACGACGACAAGACGACGACAGCGGCGACGACGACGCATTGCGGATGTCCCATGGGGGTGGATGGGGAGGGTGCTCAGTTGGCGCGCCTCAGTTGACGACTGGGACCAGGGACCACGACAACGACGGCGACGACGACGACGACGTCGACGGCGACGACGATTGTGGCGCGTCAGTAATCTGCCCGGGAGGGGAGAAAACTTCGCCTCGGATCCACACGACCCTCATCACAACTTGGATACGAAAGACAATCGTTTCAGGCTGCCGTGCAGGTGGGTACACCATCCCTTTGTCGGCCCCCGCGACGACCCCCTGGCGTGTGTCATTAAGAGATTGTTTCGCGCATTGCGGGGTCTGTTCATCAGCTCTGGGGGGGGGGGCATCATTTGTTAACCCCAAGCTGACATTCTAACAAGACGGCGCTCGACGGAAGAGGGATCACTCACAGGGAGCACCAGGAGCGACGCGCCGCAATCGTCGGGAGCCTTTCCCGAGCAGGGCTCCGCTCGTACCATGCTTGGCAGCGGCACCAGCAACACGGCTCCGCGGGACGCGAGCAGCTGCCACGGCACAGGCACGATGCCAGACCATCCTGCGAGCCACGTCGGCGCCCGCGGCGCCTCTGCGGGCGCGGCCGCCCCGGCGCCCGCGAAGCCGCGGCTTGGCGGCCACTGCCGGCCCACGCCGCCGACGTGGCACGAGCCCTGCGCCCGCGGCGGGGGTGCGGCCGCGGCGGCCAGAGCGGCGGCTGGCGGGCGCCCGCGCCCCCTCGAGCTGCGGCGCCTCGAGGAGGTCCGCGAGGCGCCCGGCGACGTCTCTCCGCGGCCACGTGCGGCCCTTCGCGGCGGTGCTGGCTGGGGGCACGAGCCTCGTGCTGCCGATGTCGGGGTCAAGGCGCGCGCTGAGTACGGCGACGGTGCGCCTGGGGGTGGCGAGTGTCATGAGCCCGAGCATCATGATCCAGCACTTGGCACTTGTACGTGTGTGAGTGCCGGTGTGGGCGACGCAGGCCGAGCACCTCGACGAGGGCTCGCCGACGGAGCTCCGCCCGGCGCTGCAGCGGCCCCAGGGCCAGCGAGGGCCTGGCGCGAGCACTGCCATTTGGCCATGCTGCCTCTGGGGCTCTAGCCCCTCACCAGCGACGAGGAGGGCGCGGCGGCCCCTGCAGCCGGGCCGCCGCACGCCGCCAGCGGAGAGGGCGCGGCCCCCCTCTCGGGCGCCGGGGCGGCTGCGCCGCCGCGGGTGCCGCTGCCGGCCGCGCCGCTGGAGGCGTGGGGGCCGTCGGCAGCGCGGCGGCCGCCGCCGCGTGCGGGGCACCTCGCCCGCGCAGGTGGCAGGGCAGCGGCCGCGGTGCGCACCGGCAGGGGCGGGGAGCTGCAGCAGGGCTGCGCGGGCGTCGAGGCGTCGACCGCCGCGGGCACGGAGGTGCAGGAGGTCGGCGGAGGCACGTGGGCGCAGGCTGGCGCGGGCGAGGGCACAGAGGTGCAGTTGGGCAGCCTGGAGGCGGCGAGCGCGGGGGCGCCTGTCCGCCGGCCCCGTGTTCGCGGACGCGACCGCAGCCATCGCAACCGCCCAAGAGTCATCTTTACCAGCCACTCCGAAGGAGGAGAGAGCGGGCCCGTGTCGGTGGCCAGCGGTTCGAGCTCCGCGGTGCGACCGCGGGGGGCCGACCAGAGTTTCGGGCAGGACGACCTCGATGAGAAGGAGGCGAAACTCGGCGAGAGCGGCGACACAGGTGGTGCCACAGTGTGCGAGCAGGAGGCGTTCGACGCGGGCTAGCACGGTGTGCACGACAAGTTCGTGCGTTGGCGGCAGAAGTGACCGCGAGAGTCTGTTCGGCGTCGTCGTCGTGCCCTGCGCATCCGTGCAAGAGGCGCTGGCTGCAGGCGCCGGCAGCGGGCGCGGCGGGAGCCCCGTGAGGCGGGCCTTCAGAGGGCCTCGGCGGGGTCGTGGTCGGCTTCAGACTGGCACCAGTGGCGTGCCGTCAGAAGATGGCGCCCAACTTTTACATTTGACTGCGCCGTGGCTGGTTTTTCCTGCACAAGCCGCTTGGCCACGCGCATCCGCCGCCGCTGGCTTTTCTCTGTGCACGCTGCTGCCGCCGCGCTCTCATCAGCTGAGCATCCAGCTCGATGTGCAACCTGTTGTTTGTCCGTTGTTGCTCTTTTGCCCCCCTGGTCCTCCAGGGCCCGCACAGGTCCGCAGAACAGTGAGGGAGTGGCCCTCGCAGGGGGTGGGGGAGCTGAGCTCGTTTTTTCTTGGGGGGGGGGCGCAGGGACTGTGGGCGGGCTCGCCCTCCTCGATCTCCTCCTCCTCCTCCTCCTCCTACTCCTCCTCCTCGATCCCCTCGATCTCCTCCTCCTCCTCCTCATCCTCATCCTGCTCCTCCTCCTCCTCCTCATCCTACTCATCCTCCTCCTCGACCTCCTCGACCCTCCTCCTCCTCCTACTCCTCCTCCTCCTCCTCCTCCTCATCCTACTCATCCTCCTCCTCGACCTCCTCGACCCTCCTCCACCACCTCCTCCTTCTCCTGGGCCCAGGCGGTCACCCGCCCGAGGGACCGCGGGCGGGTCCTCGCCCCCCTTACGCGCCCTATAGCTATCCTCAGGCCGCCCGCCTACCAGTCCAAGGGGGCTGCCGCGGGCGCCGAGTTCTTCGTCGGCCCGCTCACTAGGCTTGTGTCCACGAAATATTAAATAAACACTATCCAAAAAATACACCAGAAAGGTAAAAACAGATTCGAAACATAGTCCCTTGATTATGTTTTGACTATTGTTTGATTTGTTTGGGGGTATTCTGTATTTGTCGTCGAAAACCCCCTGTAGGGGGACAGGCCCGACTTAACACTAGGCTCAAGTCGGGCGTGTCATTCTGCAGGAGGAATATTCAAGAACAGTCGAATAATAGTCTGGGCGCGACTTTTCGATTAGTGTTCGCTGTTTTTGCACATGTTTGGCGTATTTGGGATTTCCCGTCCAAAATCCGCCTGTAGGGGGACATACAATTGGAAAGGGTTGGGCTGGGCAGCAGGGCGGCGTGCGCAGAGGCGCGCCTTGTGCGGGTTGCCGCAAGCCTTCCTCGAAGCCACCGCACGACTCCTCCCAAAGCCCTCTCTCGCATTCTCTCGCGCCACCGCGTTCTAACATCTCCTCGCGCTCTCGCAGCTCCGCGCTTGCTGGCCACCTCGCCCTCTCATTCTCACAATTCTCACAGATAGCTGGGCACGCCCGCCGCTGTATTCTCGCATTCACACAACCATCGACGTACAGCTTTAGTCAGTCTCTCGTTTGAGCGATCTCCCAATCGATCGGCATCTGGAGGGAACCCGGCTTAGCGCAACTTGGCCCCACCTCTGGACATTGCAGGATTGTAGTTTATGTTGTAGTGTGGTTTCTTTCTCTTTGCGACTGCTTTGGAGTATTCCTCGTCTGCGCGTCGAGTAGCCCTCACAATCCATTCCACACACGGTTCCTCTTACAGTCTGCTCACGCCGACGGTGTTCTGTTCCGGTCGGCCTTGCTGGACAGGCCCCATGGGGGCGACCCCAAACATGCAGGAGCCGGGTCTGGGGTGGAGGAGGAGGGCGAGACGCCTCTTCTGTCCACCGCCTGGCCCGTGCCAGACTCATCGCACCTCCCCCGCAGCATGCGCACCTGGCCGCCTCGCCAGATGTGCTTGGAGGAGGCGCTTCCACGATGCGGACGAGGCTGCCCTGCGTGCCTCCGAGGGCCCCTGGGAGCGGAGCTCCGCGGCAGAGCCCGGGAAGAGGAGGGCGCGCTCCAGGCCAGCCACGAGCCACATGCGGCATCTTGGACTTACCGGCGCTCGGGCTTTTTTTTTTGAGGGGGGTGAGGGTCCCCCCTCCTGGCGCGGGCCCGATCCCCCCCGACCTGCGGCACCCGTGCCTCCCTGGCGGCAATGGACACAGGGCTGGCCATGGACCAAGGATCACCGAGCGCGCTCCGCTGCTCGCAAAGTACCTGCTCGCAAACGTCCAACAAAAACAGCTGCTGGGCAATGGAGCTCGTTTGCCTCGGTGCAGTGGACCCAGGCCTTTTGCGAGTAGCTACTTTGCGAGTGACGGGTATAGCCAGGACTCCAGGTAAGGGGGCCCGGCTAGTAGTAGGGCCCCGGAGCCCCTAATTCGCCAGGATCATGCAACCACGTCTGCTGTAGTTGTGTTATTTCGGGTGACGGCAACTCAGGTTAGCGGAACGGGGCAGGGGGAGCGTCCCCGAGTTCACATCACTAAACCAGGTCCCACTAAGCCCAGTTCTGCCATTGCCCGAGAGTAGTGGAGCGCGCTTGTCTGGAGGAGGTGCCGACGCGAGGGCGGGGGGAAGGGGGATGGGCGCTAACTGTGCACACGAATCGCTCCTGGCCAGGCCGGCCCTGAGCTCAGGCCCAGGTTGCAGGGAGGAGGAAGAGGAGGAGGAGGAAGAGGAGGAGGAAGAGGAGGAAGAAGAGGAGGAAGAGGAAGAGGAGGAAAGGGGTGGAGAGGATGGAGAGGAGGTAAGGAGGATGATGATGAAAAAAACAGGAAGAGGAGAGCAGGAGGATGAGGAGAGGAAGAGGAGGATGAAGGAGTATGGACGTAGAGGGAGGAGGGAGGAAGGTGTAGGAAGGAGGAGTAGGAGGAGGAGAGGAGTAGGAGGAGGGAAGGGCGGAGGAGTAGAGCATGAAGGATGATGGCGGAGGATGAGGATGATGAGAAGGTGACGGGACGAATGAGGAGGAGGAGCAGGAAGAGGTAGTAGAGGAGTAAGAGGAAATAACACTAGTAGTAGTAGTAGTAGTAGTAGTAGTGGTCGTATTCGTAGTCGTATTCGTAGTCGTATTCGCAGTAGTCGTAGTAGTAGTAGTAGTAGTAGTAGTAGTAGTAGTAGTAGTAGTAGTAGTAGTAGTAGTAGTAGTAGTAGTATTAGTAGTAGTAGTAGTAGTTGTATTAGTAGTAGTAGTAGTAGTAGTAGTAGTAGTAGTAGTAGTAGTAGTAGTAGTAGTAGTAGTAGTAGTAGTATGTATAAGTAGTA